TTCAAGTCCAGTGCATGCTTCTTGGCTGAGCCTTCCAAGCAACTCCAGTTCATGAGTGTTGCTGCCCTTTGAACACTTACTATATTTTCCTATATAAACTATTAGATTGTTACACTCAAACCTGTGCTATCAATTAGGTTTTTAAAATTTATTACCTTAAATGTATTATAAACAAGTCCAATGAGAGCAAACTTTATATCATCTTTCTTTACTTCCCTCATAGAACTTACAGATACTATAGATTCACTAAATATTGTTAATTGCTTATTAACACATGATGTGTAGAGTTGACAAAGTATGAAGTTTAAAAAAAAGGCTTTCAAAGTAAATGTTTACACTAACTACCTAATAATGAAGTGAAGCATAGGTTTTTGAGTCTCTTTGCTATTAAAGAAAAATTCCAGTAATCTTACAGTCCAAATTGGATTTTAAAAAGAATTATGATCCTCTTTAGACCCAGGAAGGGAAGCCTCTACTTCATGCTAGAGCTTTAGATGGTCTTGCCCATTCACTCCTCTGGCTACACTCCTCTTCATGAAGATATGGCATTGAAGGATAAGAAGATATGCCACTTAGATCTTATGGTTTCTTTCTATACCATAGCACAGGTATTCAAGACCCTAGACTTTCTTGCTCAAATGGCCTCAAGTCTACTTTTAGGAGCTTCACAGATTCTTGCTGGGATTCATCCTCCAAAGGACGCTCTGTGACACTGGTGTGCTCAGCCTAAGTCGACTGGAGGACTAAAGTTGGCAGCTTTTTGAAACAGGGAAAAGACAGCTTGTGTATGAGATGCTTATATATGTGCATATGTGAAATCTCTCAGGATGTGAGATAGAGCTAGAGCCAGGTAAGGGCAGAGAAGTGGGATTAACTGAGGTTAAGAGCTGGTTCTCTATAGGCCACCACATGCTGCCATGGGGTTCTTAGGAGTCCCAGTATTTTAAATATGAAACTGGACTGTCAGGTTGTTATGAAAGTACCTTTACAAAGTAGACTGATACTATATATTTTAAGTTTGATCTAATTTAAATAATGGAACTGTAGGCTATTATCTTAAATGAAACACCTGAGACACAGAAAGACAAATACTGTATGTTCTCATTTATAAGTCGAGCTAAGTAATGTGTACATGTAGGTCTACACTGTGGAATAACAGACAGTGGAGGCTTGGAAAGGTGAAAGGGTAAAAGGGGAGTGGGTGATGAAAAATTACTTAATGGTGCAATGTACTTTGTTCCAGCATGGGTACACTAAAGCCCTGACTTCACCAATATGCAATATATTAGTGTAACTTGTAGTAGTAATTAATGTAATATGTATTATATATATATTTATACCAGTAAAAAAAAGATTTATCATTTAAAAATATTTAGGCATGTGTATGTGAGCTGCCATACTCATATTCTTACCTTGGGATCTCTACTTTTTAGAGACCCTATTTATTTTAACACTTGAAATTACAACTAAAAGGTTAAAATTAACCCCTTGAACAGCATGGAGATTGACCTATGTGTTATTGAAATCCATGTATAACATTTGACTGTCCAGAAAATTTAACTGCTAGTAGTCTACTGTTGATCAGAAGCCTTACTGATAACATAAACAGTTGATTAACACATAGTTTGTATGTTATATATTATACATACTGTATTCTTAAAGTAAGCTAGAGAAAATGTTATTAAGAAAATCATAGCTGGGCATGCTGACTTATGCCTGTAATTCCAGAAATTTGAGAGGCCAAAGCAGGTAGATCACCTGAGGTCAGGAGTTTGAGAACAGCCTGGGCAACATGACAAAATCCCATGTCTACCGAAAATACAAAAAATTAGCTGGGCGTGGTGGTGCACACCTGTAGTCCCAGCTGCTTTGGAAGCTGAGGTGAAAGAATTTCTTGAGCCTGGGACATGGAGGTTGCAGTGAGCTGAAATTGCACCACTTTGCTTCAACCTGGGTAACAGAGTGAGACCCTATCTCAGAAAAAGAAAAGAAAATCGTAAGAGAAAATATATTTACTATTCACTAAATGGAAATGGATGATCATAAAGTGGCCTTCATCCTTGTTGTCTTTATGTTGAGTAGGCTGAGGAGTAGGGTAAAGTGGAAGGGTTGGTCCTGCTGTCTCAGAGGTGGCAGAGACTGAAGAAAATTCACTTCTAAGTGGACCTGCATAGCTTAAACCTGTGTTCAGGGGTCTTTATATATAAATGCAGTATTTCCAAAAGGAAAAGTATGCCTGAAATGTGATATGATTTCTATATCTACTGATGTTATATTTTATGGCAAATTTCATAGGCATTTAGATCTATATCAATATTGAATTTACATTCTTGTTTTAGGGAATCAGATCCAAATTTGTATATCTAATATATATTACTTTCTATATTCCTGAATAAGAAGAAATTTACCAATTATGTCTGTTTTGACTCTTTTGGTACCTAAATCTAATTATAATTTATTTTATTTTAAGTAAAAGAAGAAACATTATTTTTCATCAAACATCACAAACTTAGTGTAAAACAGTATGCATCATTTTGCTATGTATTTATGCACTGTATTTGAGAAGAATCACATTTCCAAATATCTGTGTATATTTTGGTACTTCTGTATTTTTTGATTTATATCAGTTCTGATTAGAGAATACATATATTTTTTTCACTTCAGATCCTTCTCTTCTTCTGAACATTACCCCAACTGAATGTATTTGTAAATAAGGAAATGTTCTAATTTCATAAATGATATTTTCAAAGTTTTTCATATTTGAGTTAAAGTTAATCTCATCTTTTCAGAGTTGATTTTTTAATGAACATGGTTAATGCTTTCTATTACTATAAAGCAATGTAGCCTGAAGATACTAATTAAAGCAGAATTTACTGGGAATATAGTTATTTACTCCTATATGGGAGAGTAAAGTATGTAGTATAGACATTAATAATGATGTATATGCAGTCCCTGATAAATGAAATCAACTCTAATTATAAATGTATTCAAAATAAAAATCATCATTGGATGAGTAGATGCTCTCCTATGGGTAAAATACTTAGATTTTTAGATATTGATTTTGACAGTTTAAAAGTATATCATAGTTTTTACTATTATCTTGATTCACAATTACATTTAGAATGATTGTATTGTGGTTCCAATGAGCTGTGATAGTGCTGGTTTGCCTTTAAGTGTCCTCAGAGTAATGTAAGACCCGTTATACATTAGGATGAAAGGCATTTAGATGGGAAATCTCATGTATATTCCCTTGAGATTATTGAGTCACCCCTGATAAAAAATGTGTGTATTTTGTAAAATTAAATATACAGTTGAAAGGAATTCATTGTTTTCTCTGGAAAATGCCCTCTGGATTTCAAGCAAGGAACTTGCAAAAAATACTTTTTGGATGAATATTGTGTTTAAGTTTGCATGATGGATAATATAAATTATTCTAGAAATGTACAGTAGTTAATTAAAAATACATTGTGTCATAATGGTCCTATATACAGAGAAAAGTAGGCATTCTGTTAGAAAGTATACTAATGAAATTCAACTGGCCTTGATTTAGTAACTCTCTATAGCCAGTTAAAATGAGAAACTGCAAACAGAATGTGTTAAATAATCTTATTATAAATAACTGAAGTATGTTATCAACGAATAGAACCCTTATTCACCCTTGTTCACTACAGCAAACCATTTGTCATTTTCAGTATACTCAAATAGAAATGATAAACTATGATGACTAGCATGTGTTCCCAAACATGCTATAAGGTTACCTGAATGTTTTTCATGTATTGAAAATGATCAATTATAACTATACAAATAAAATGGAGTTATAATCTAAATTTACAGTATAGAAGTATGCAACGTTAAATGAATAAATATTGATAATCTTTACTGCTTTCAGGGTACTCAGATATTTTTATTAAATCTCTTAAAAACAGACAAAGTCTTTCCATGCAATCAAGTCGCAAACTGCTTGTACATAAACATAAAGAAGTGAAAATAATCCAGTGATCTATCTCAGAGTAAAAGCCAAAGGACTTAAAATGCTTAATAAAGACTTTTGATTTGGCTGCTCTCTGACCCTCTGTTCTTAGTACTTAATGTGCTTTCAGTGCCCACTTAGGCTGTTCCTCAAATATACCTACACACTCCTGCCTCAGGTTATTTGTATTTACTGCTTCCTCTTTGCAAGTTTCACTGTCTCATGTCTAAGACAATGCTTAAATGTCACTACTTGAGTAAGCCTTTTCTAGACACCCACTTAAAATTATAACCCTCCATCCCCTTGCCCCATTTTTCCCCATTGTACTTTCTACCATATTATTTAGTTTTACTCATTTCTACTTTTGAATTGTCTCTCTTCCTTCTAAAGTGAGCTTTATAAAGGCAGACAGTTTTTGTTCAGCTTGTTAATTGCTGTATTTCCAGTGTCCAGGGTGTGGGAGTGGCTGATAAATATTGAATAAGTCTAAGGCCTTATCTATGTCTGTTTTCTATTTAAATGGTCATGTAAATGTTTAATTGAATATTGGCAAAGAAAACAGACCACAATTTGTGGCAAATTGTATATGAGGAAAGATGGGAAACCCAAAGTGCATTTTTTATGTGTTTAGTTGTTTTGATAAGATAATGGATGCTATTTCATGTTCTTATAATATGCCAGGAACTGTCTGAAGTGCTGTACTTGTATTTATCTAATTTAGACCTTACAACAACCCTGTGAAACAGGTACTATTATCAGCTCCTTTACAGTTGAGGAAACTAGATATTAAATACAGTTGTCATGCAATTCATGTGTAAGAAGACAAGACAGGACAGCTGATTCTAGAACCCATTCTTTTAACCAAAGGCTCACGGTTAAAATGCTGTCGCATTGTTGCTTTGAATAGCTTCATTTGTATCCTTTTAACTCTTGTTTATTTTGGTAAAACAAAAAAAAAAAATGTAAGTAATCATTTCTGTTTAATCACTGTAGTTTAAAATCACTTAATGACTTTTTCCCGTTTTTGCAGTGGGATGCCATCACTGAAATGGATGAACATAATAGGCCCATTCACACATACCAGGTATGTAATGTAATGGAACCAAACCAAAACAACTGGCTTCGTACAAACTGGATCTCCCGTGATGCAGCGCAGAAAATTTACGTGGAAATGAAATTCACATTGAGGGATTGTAACAGCATCCCATGGGTCTTGGGGACTTGCAAGGAAACATTTAATCTGTTTTATATGGAATCAGATGAGTCCCACGGAATTAAATTCAAGCCAAACCAGTATACAAAGATCGACACAATTGCTGCTGATGAGAGTTTTACCCAGATGGATTTGGGCGATCGCATCCTCAAACTCAACACTGAAATTCGTGAGGTGGGGCCTATAGAAAGGAAAGGATTTTATCTGGCTTTTCAAGACATTGGGGCATGCATTGCCCTGGTTTCAGTCCGTGTTTTCTACAAGAAGTGCCCCTTCACTGTTCGAAACTTGGCCATGTTTCCTGATACCATTCCAAGGGTTGATTCCTCCTCTTTGGTTGAAGTACGGGGTTCTTGTGTGAAGAGTGCTGAAGAGCGTGACACTCCTAAACTGTATTGTGGAGCTGATGGAGATTGGCTGGTTCCTCTTGGAAGGTGCATCTGCAGTACAGGATATGAAGAAATTGAGGGTTCTTGCCATGGTAAGAAACAAACATTTAAATAATTTATCTTGCATTTAAATGATTTTTAAAAAGTTTTATTTTTTAAATTAACAAATAGTAATTGTACATATTCACGGGTGTGTACTGTTTTGATACATATAATGTATACTGATCAAAGTAGTTAATATATCCATCATCTCACTGATCTTTTCAAAATGATGATTTATTAAAAGTAAATGTTATACATTTATTTCAAATAATACATTTTTGAGTGGTATACCTGATAATAAATTGCGAAAGAAATTGATTCATATTAACTGTAAGAAAATTGCTACCGTTTTTCTCCTGGAAAGGTATATAAAAGTGTGCCAAAATGCTTTCAGTAAAGTAGTTAAACAATATGAATTGCTGTAACCACCTAATTTTTATAAAGGAAAACAGCATCAACAACAGCAACAAGAAGCAATTCAAAATAGTGATTTCCCTGGTGTTCACATTTTTATGGTTTATAGAAATATGACATTTAAAGACAGTTAGCAATAATTATTTCTATCATATTGAATTATAATACTTGAATTGTATTTAAATAGAATTATATTTAAATAAAAGGAGTTTATGTATATTTTATTTCAAAAATGTATAAACTAGTTTATACGGGTGTTATGTATGATGTTTGGTGGTTGAATATTGACCTGATCAGAGCTTAATTAATCTTTTGGTATTATTGCATAGAATTTTCCACCATATAACACATTAGCTTTTCATTTTAATAGTAGTATTTGTGTAACATCTAATTGTCAGGAAATATTAACATCACACAATGCTAGTTAGGTTTAGAACTATTCCTTTCACATTGTTATAACAATGAAGTAACTATTATTTTCAAGATGAAACATTTTTCAATTTTTATGTAATTCATTTTATGAAGGCTTATTTACCTAATAAGTATATACATTCAAAATTTTTATATGCCCCCCAATAAAGAGCATACATTTGATTATGTTTAGATTTAGGACTCATAATCAAAACACAAATATACAAATAAAATTATTTCATGGTAAATAGTAATATACTGGAGATATTTCCCTCTCAATGAAAACTTCTTAAGAGGGTATTTTCTATAGCACCAGCTTGAATTTATTGATTTCTCTGTTGATGTTATATTCACATTCATTAAAAAGGATGAGAATAAATAAGAAAAACATATCTGTATGCACGTAAGAGTTATAGATAATATATGTGAAGTTTTAAAGGTTTTATCTGTTTATAAAACACTTGGGTTCTTGACTCTTGAAAATTTCACTAGAGCTGCCAGTGATGATTATGTTTTGTAACTGGAGAATATTAATATTTGCATGAGAAGTCGATAGTATATATTTTACAAAGCATGAATCAGCTTTCCTATGCTTTTAGTCATTAAACTATGTTTCATTCAAGTTTATTAATACAGATTATCATTATAGTTTATCAAAATTGTGTTCACTTATAACAAGGATTTATAACGGAGAAAAATTAAAGCATAAATGATCCTGGAGGTAGGATCTAAAGATATTTTACATTGGAAAGTGCATGTATTAGTTTGTTACACTGCTATATGAACTTTCTGAGACTGGTTATTTCTGAAGGAAAGAGGTTTAAATGGCTCACAGTTCTGCAGGCTTAACAGGAAGCACTACTGGAATGCCTCAGGAAACTTACAATCATGACAGAAGGCGAAGAGGAAGCATGCATGCATTACCCTGACAGAGGAAGAGAGAGAGAGAGAAAGGGGGAAATGCCACACACTTTCAAACAACCAGATCTCATGAGAACTCACTCTCACGAGAACCGCAAAAAGGAAGTCGACCCCCATGATTCAATCACTTCCCACTAGGCCCCTCCCCCAGAATTTCAAGATGAGATTTGGATGGGGACACACAGTCAAACCGTATCAGTGCACTAAAGAAAAATTTATACATATGGATAATTATCCAGTTAAGTGGAGAAGACAATAAGATCTAAGGATAAAATGTATTGCACAGAGAAACCATGTCGTTTTTTTGATACAGGCATGCAATATGTGTAATAATCACATCAGTTTTACTGTATTTTAAATTAGGTAGTGATTAGCCATTGATAAAAATAATCCAGTTTTACAGTTTTTTAAATATTCAAAGACTTATTTAATCTAAGAATTTGTGTGATTTGCTATTACTAAATATTTGTATTCCTTTACGGCATTTACCACAGAATTAAAGTAACCAACCATGATGTCTACATATTTTTTTACTTAATATGCTTGGTGTGAAATTTTATTCTTATTTATATGCCTTAAAATTTCTTCTGTGATTTGGTAAAGATAGTTTTGGACAAATGTTAAGCAGCATCTGTTTATCTAGAACTTCTACTTGTGTATATTTATGGCTTGTTATCTTTATTATCCTTTATCTGATTGCAGAAACATGAGGGAGTCAGTACAGAACAATTGTTCATCATCTTGTAGTGGATGGCAGAAATTGGAAGGATTAAGTTTGAATTCTATATCTATGGCTTACAAACCTCAAAATCAGGTGTTTTTTTAAATTTATAAAGTAGTGGTTATAGTCACCTAAAAATAAAATACATGTAAAACTATTAAAAACAAGCAACATGCCTGATTCTAGTTAAATATAATGAATTGCTATTTACAAACAAAAGAAATGTCAGAGTGGATGTGGAGACTACATTATTTTAAAGATATATATAGTGCACTACCACCAGTGTTCATTTTAGAGTACTTACTTTTACGTGTTCTTGATGTTGCATGTTGCCCCTTTCTTTCCTCTGATGAGAATTTTATCATTGCTTTTATTGCCCTCTATTCATAACTTATCTCACAAAAAATCTCTGAATTACATGTAATCAAAAGGTCGAACTAATTCAAACTTATATGAGAAAAATGTAGTATGAGTAGAAATGTGACCACATATATAATAGGAAAAGAAAAAATGAGTGTATCATTATTTTTCTTCTCATCTATTCTGTGAAAACAATTAATTAATCTGCACTATTTTTTTTTTTTTTTTTTTTTTTTTTTTTTAGAAACAGGGCCTTATTCTGTCACCCAGGCTGGAGTGCAATGGTGCAACCATAGCTCATTGCAACCTTGAACTCCTAGGCTCAAGCGATTCTCCTGCCTTGGCCTCCCAAAGTGCTGTGATTGCGGGGTGAGCCACTGCTTCCAGCCCCAAACTGTTGATATTTTTGAGCATTTATTATTTCTTAATCACTTTCTTAAGTGGTAGAGATAAATATAAATAAGGCATATGTTTCTGTTATCCATTGCTATGAGACAAAACAGCCCAAAATGTATTGGCTTAAAACCACAATGATTTATTATTTTTCAGGGCTCAGCTAGGTAGTTCTGTTTAATGTGCAATAAACAGCCATCACTCATGTAGCTGAATTCCACTGGGAGCTTTGACTTGAGTTGGAATGTCCAAGATAGCCCCTCCTCTTCCAGGGCCTTTGTCTACGTGGCCTCTCCACATTTAGTATCTGTCCCAAGCTTTCCCGGAGTGTAGTTGCTGGCTTCAGAGGGAGTTTATTCACATAACCATCTGTAAAAGGAGTGTCTGAGGAGACAGCACAAGACTGAATACCTGAAAGTATATTTATAGGGGACTGCCACCATGACAATATATTATTTTACAGTCTACTCTCTGGATTCTCCTGATTAATGTCCCTTCGGCATGCACAAAACCCCACACCCTTCCAAAGGTTTATCCTGTTAGGACATCATGTTGAAGTCCAAAATAGCATGTTGAAATCAGTTCCAGATTCAAATGAAGTTTCATTGCTAAAATCCCTGTTGATCTGCAGAGCTAAGAACCTAAAAGTAAGTTATTGTTCCCTACACACGCAACACACGTGGAACGGGGGCAGGATAATTGGAAAATAGTCTCCCGTTCCAAAAGGCAGGGAACACAACAGTCACTGGTCTATTGTGATTGTGAAGTGTAACTGGTGTTTTCAAGTTCCCTGACTACAGGGGCAGAGAGTGTTTTCTGATTAGAGCCCAGTTCTGCTCCTTGTGATTGGTTCCCTGTGTCTTTTGGCTTTCTTACTAGTGTCTTGCCCCTGCACTCTTAGTCATCCACTCTTTTTATAAGAATTGCCCATGTGCTAGTTGCTAGTTTCAACAGTTTTCTGGAAACCTCTTTAATTTGATCAACAACATTATGAAGTGCTTTTTCTCTCTTCCAAGCTATCACAGGCAGGATTATTGCCAATTGCTCATCACATAACATGTGTTGACCTTTTAGTATCCGTATTAACAATTTCCTTACTGATCTTCCAGCCTCTACTCACAGTCTCCATGCTATTCTTCAGCCTCTACCATCTGTTCAATCCCAAAGCAGATATCACAGGTTTTAACTTTTTGTTATGGCAACACCCATATCTTGTACAAATTATTTGCTTGTAGTTTCTACAATCTGGAAATCCAGATTTGGTTCACTGGGTCATTCTTTTCCTGTCTTAGCTGAGGTCACTCATGCAACTGCAGTTATTTGGAGGTTTAACAGAGCTGCATGTCTAGGATGGCTTCACTCATGTATAATGCTTCATCTGTTATGTTTGAGATAATGTTGTATACTGTCTAAATCCTGGTAACAATTTTAGTATGTTTTATTTCAGGAAATTATTCTAGTTTTTTTTTTCTTTCTGATATATCAACTAGAAGGGGTTACTCACCTTAGCATTCAAGAAATTGTACATTTTGACCTTGTCCTGTTCTTTTGCAACCTCAGCAAATTCTGTCCACTATTCTGTTTTTTATAACTTTTGAACAGTCCGTGTGTTTTTGTATCTCTTACCTTTTTTCATATTTTACCTAGCTGCTTCTGCACCCTTTTCTTCTTTTTCTGTGATGAAATTTTATTTATTCTTCAAGACCTAACACAAATGTCATCATGCCCCTGGGTCTTCACAAAGTTAATATCACCCTCCTCTGTGCTACAATTTGTGCTGATTATTCGTGTATCTGTTTCACTAGGGCTATCACATAAAAGAAGCATACT